CAACGACACGTGGCATCGTGTCCCACTTGCCAGATCATGAAGTCATCACGGAAGCGGCCGGCAGGACAGTTGCAGCCGATCCCACCCCCAGAGCGTGCTTGGCAGCAGGTGACGATGGACTTCGTCACGGAGTTACCTGCCGGAACGAGTGGGAATGACGCGATCCTGGTCGTCGTCGATCGACTGACGAAGATGGCACACTTCGCGGCCTGCAAGAAATCAATCACAGCCGAAGAAACAGCCCGCCTCTTCATCGCCACCGTCGTACGACTGCACGGGATACCAGCATCGATCATCAGCGACAGAGATACGAAATTCACCAGCAACTTCTGGCGGAACCTGTGGCAGCAGTTCGGCACGCGACTGCAATTCAGTTCATCGTACCACCCCGAAACCGACGGACAGACAGAACGGACAAATCAGACCATGGAACAGCTCATCCGGGCCACGTGCGACGACCCGACCACGTGGGAACAGCAACTGCCACTCATCGAATTCGCATACAATAACTCACCATCCGCCACGACCCAACAGTCACCGTTTTACCTGAACTACGGACAAGACCCCACAGTACCCATGACCCCGAATCCCGACAACCCAGTCCCACGCGCACAACAGTTCGCAGAGATATTACAAGCAGCACGGACCCGAGCAGCAGAAGCAATAAAAAAAATCAAACATCATCGCTAAGCGCAACGCCGACCGACACCGCCGCCCCGTCACTTACCAGCCAGACGACCTAGTTTTACTCGACACCCAAAACCTCCGCCTGCCCATCACCCCGAAACTCCGCCCCCGATATTGCGGGCCATTTCGCATCAGCCACATGATCACACCCGTCACCGCCCACCTCCTCCTCCCTGCTGACTGGTACGTCAGCCCGTCATTCCACGTCAGCCTGCTTCGCCCATACGTGCCATCCACCAGCCAACTGCCCCGCAACCGCCCCGCCAGCATGACCCGACCTCCAACTGAGCCGGTCATCACACCTGAGAAAATACTGAGCCATCGAGTACGTGACCCACGGGGAGCCCGCAGAATCGAATTCCTGATCCGTTGGAAGGACCGCACACCCACCGAAGACAACTGGGTCCCCCTGGATAGAATTGAGAATCACCCTGTCCTCACCGAGTATCTGCGAAGCCGAAACTTCCGAGATGTACACGCGCTCTCGTAAGAGGGGCCTCCTTGGGGAGGGGGGGTAGTGTAAGGAAATTTCCTTTTCCTTACTTCGCGTCCCTGCTCAGCGCGTACACCACTGTTCCCACCCACAGCACCCAACAGTTATCCGTTACCACTCGCGACACTCGCTTCGACACCATTCCCGCCACCATTCACGACGCGACCCAACCTCACGGTTCGGTTGGTAACCCGCGCTCCGGACCTCCGCCTCGACACTTTCCCAACCTCGGCACCAGGCCCGTCGCGCACCCCATTTTCCACACATTACCGTTACCACTGTAGTTTCGCTATATATTCTTCGCTCATGCCTTCGCTCATTGTACTCTTGCTTCGATAGTGCAGTTCTCGTTCGCTCACTCAATTGCACTCGTAACAATCAGGCACAGCGGTCGCACAAACTTCCGTTACGGATAACCGAGACAATCGAGTCTAATTATGTAAACGACGAAACTCTTACATTCACTAAACCATAGACGGAAAAGGCATTGTGAACTTCACTCCAAATTGGTATGCCGGACACGCATGGACTCTTTTGTTTCGCCCAAATTATCCCGCAAGAGACGCACTACAACTTCGCCCAAAACAAACAACGCTCCCTCATAAACACTCCCCATGGGCAGCACCCCTTCCCTAATCTCAACCATATCCCTTCCTTCACCAGATTCAATATCATCTGCCATTGTCTGTGCAGGAAGGTACACCACACGATCTGCCAGCGTGGCACAATCCCCTGACGGCTGTGCAGTGATGACTGCAGTCCTGGCCCCTGCAGATCTAGCCTCCCCCAGAAGAGCCTCCACAGTGGAAAAACGGCCAGGGCCAGCGCTGACAAGGAGGAGATCTCCTGGACCAATGGGAGGGCAGGACATGTCACCCACTACGGAGGCCTGCAAGCCTAGGTGGTACAGCCGCATGGCTAGGGCTCGCATCATGAGACCCTCTCTGCTTGGAAGGGAGGACAGCAAGGAAAAATGAGAAATATGAGAACGCATTTCAAAGGAAGCACATGTCACCCACAACGGAGGTCTGCAAGCCTAGGAGGTGCAGGCGCATGACCAGGGCTCGCATCATGAGTCCCTCTCTGCTCGGGGGGGAGGGGAAGGAGGAGTGGGAGGCGGGTGTGAACGGAGAAGAAATGAGGTATGTTGATTGATACTTAGTCAATGTGCCAGCTCCTGTTAGGTGGTACAGGCGCATCGCTAGGGCTCGCATGATCAAACCCTTCTGCTCTGGCGGGAAAAGGGGAAAAAAAAAGAGAGACTGGAATTGTTACTTTGTCAATGTGCGAGCCTTGTCTCATTCATGTATGTGCGGTACTAAACAGGAGCCCAGGAGAAAAAAAGGGCGGTTTGAACTAGAATGAAGAGTGGAGATTTAGGTAGGCATTCCGAATGAGCGGGAGCTTACCGTCCAACTCCATAGAGAGCAATCTTTCCGTCTTTTGCGGAAACAATTTCCTCCACTAGCGTCTCGAAAGGGTCACCCTTCGCGGCATCGTCAGTCGCGCCGGGCACACTGGCGGAATCAGATGCTGCTGCGTGTGCGATTCTGCCAAACACGGCGCGAATCTCCTCGATCGCGCGATATGCCAAGTCGGAGTTGCTAACTTCGTTCGCCTGACCAGCCTTAACTACTCTAGTGTGGAAACTGGATAAGGGAAGAGAACGCTGGGTAGCGGGAATATGTCTGACTTTCCTGGTCGAGATAGGGCAGTGTACAGAGCTGACTCTATCAAATGCGATTGGGGGGATCACGGGTCCGCGCAGCTGAAGCTGACTGGATAGCGATGTAGTGCAGCGACAAGCCATGGCGCACACGGAAAGAAGCTGAAGGTTGATGACCACAGTCGGGAACTTACAAGGACGAATTTCGTAGGCATTTCTGCCAGAATCTGGTCCACCCTGTAGAGGTCCCCGTTTCTTCTAATAATGTTTTTTCCCTTTCTCTTTCCGATTTGGAGTAAAATAAGCCAGGTTGAGTGTAGAGTAGCTGTATTGAGTGTAGAGTAGCTGTATTGAAGAATTTCTGACAGGCTTCAAGCTAGTCACTTCGCGGCTCGATTTCCCGCCAACTGCTTGGTATGGTTTGCAAGGTTTGGGCGGTGCGGGTCTGGGGTGTTCCCCAAACAGCACAATGGAAGTCCCTCCGCACCACATCCCCCACCTCTTCCCATTTATCCCCAAAATCCCGCACCTCACTCCAGCCCATTTTAACGCATCCCATCGTATGTCAAACATTTGTATCTCGTCCATCCCATCTTGTTCCCACAGCACCATAATTGATCACCGTTCCTGTCCAACCACATTTCGCTTCCGTGGCTTCTACCTCTTCCCCTGCCCTACCTCGCCCTCGAGATTGTCGCTCTCGGTTCGAAGGATGCCTGTTTTCGGTTCGGTCGAGCGGTTTTCCCATTTCTCTCACCTCAGATTCCCGCACTCTATGCTGGTGTCATTGACCTGCACCATTGTTCTGTGTATCCTTGTTCTGGAGTTTAGAAGCAGGTGTACCGTTGACCCTAGTCCCCCTGGCCATAGATGATTCTCGTGTATGCCGCGTTGTAGTGCCGCTCCGCAAAGACCGTCAATCAAAATCGGTCCAGGTTCTGCCCGTTGTCATAGGTTTCACTGAGTTATCTTGTTGGACTCACTAACATCGTTATTCAGCCGCGATTTCTCTGACACTAACGCTCACATCTCTGTGTGATATCTTCACGCGCTTGTATAGTCAAACAGCGGACTACATTTCTTGAGCTGTTTAAATTATGGACGGTCACGATGAGATCATTGATGCGGTAGAGAGGCGATTAGACTTCAGTTGTGGAGTTGTCGATCAGGATGCTTATTCTATCAGCAATAGGCTCCCAAGTTATCAAACCCCGTCAATTAAACCTGGTCAGAGGTCGGATCTTTGTGCAGAGCAACGTAGAACGGATCAGGTCGACGAGGCCGACGAGGTGGACGAGAAAGATTCGGTTCCTGGAGATCACAATAATCGGGTTAATGAGAATGATCCGAACGGTCAGACGGATTTGAATAATATGAATAATATGAATGATTTGAATGATCAGAATGAAGGACAAGAAGCCATTCAAGATGAAGAGCTCGGCGACGGTCAAGAACCGGGGGAGACGGATACTGATCAAGAGCAAGACCCGGAGCAAGGCAATGAGACAGACCCTGAGTTCTCATCCGCGTTAGAAGACGCGCTACAGCACGAGGACGTGTCGTCGACCGTGCTTCTTTCGCACAGGGTCCGTATGCGAATGACATTTCCTCTTCGTTCTCGTTAGCCAAACGCGTTGCAGTTTTCGTTCTCGTTGTGATAAACTGGAATACTTCATATTGCTCGAGGGCAAAGAACGTGCCAAGAACCTAGCCTCATCATTTCTCACTGATCCTGCCTTCGCTCCTGGCAGTCATTTGCGTTTCTGTCACGGACGCGTGGCCGACGGTCATTGGTGGGGGACATCCAGCCGTGGCTTTTGAGCAAGCGAGCAGCTTGGCGTGCAAGGCAGAGAGGTGGGATTTGATTTTCCTATGGTTCGTTTTTCCATCGATTGAGTTTATTTGTGATATGATCTTAACATGCATTGCATTTCTAACCTGGTTCTCCTTTCGCAATCCTCATATACTGTCTACACGTTTGACGAAGCTAACAAGGCTCGAGTCCTTATTCTTCCCTAACTCATAGTGTCCATTCACCACTTCATAATCAAACCTCGTTCTTCGCCATTCTCCAGTCTATCACAAAGCCTCATCATTCCCCATCCTTTGCGTTGGCTGACTTCCCTTCCCAAACCGTCCATTTCAGCCAATCGCATGGGCTACCTCGTCTCTCCCATCTCTCCAACCACCTCCTCCGCCTCCCAACTCGACCTTATAACGAAGGGCGCTGAGAGCGACTCGCTCTCCCCTCCTTTTGCTGGCATTCGCCGTAGTCACAGCATCAGCGAGACGAGCAAGTCGGAACTGCATCCTTTCCCCTGCCCGCAGTCACATGGCTCTGGCTTGGGGTGTTCCTGTAACGGTGCCTTGGCTATCCGGCTTCCGGAGTTCCAGCTTTCTGGAAGGCTGGAGGAGGAGGAGGAGAGTGTGTGTGAGAGGGAGGAGGGGAGTGTGTGTGAGAGAGAGGAGACAGAGAGTGCATGCGGTGGGAAGGATGAGGAAGGCGACAAAATGGGTAGCATAAGGGTGGAGACGGAAAGAGTCAAATCAGGTAGTGCCGAGAATGGTAGCGAGGAGACGAACGGTGATGATTATGATGGTAATGGTGATGATAAGGGGTCGGGTGGTGATGGTGATGCTGGTGTTGGGACTGGTGGTGGTGCTGAAATGCTACAACCGACCCCAGGTGGAGACTCCCCCACTGGCCTCAGCTCTGCCTCCCGTTTCAGCCGCCCAACTATGGCAGCCGCAGTGGCAGCAGCAGCCTCAGAAGTAGCAGCAGCAGAGGATGGCCCTATAGTGCGGGCCTCGTGGCCTATGGCTGATGGTGTGACTACGTGGGACTGTTACAGTAAAGAGAGTGGAAGGGATTGGAGCAAGGAGCCAGGGCTAGCCAATAGGGTGGTGCCAGGTGGACTGGCTGGGGAAGGTGGTGCGAGTACAGGGAAGGATAGTGGGGAAGGCTTGAGGGAGGACGAGGGAGGAGGTTTGACAGAGGAGGAGGAGGGGAAGGTGCAGAAGCAGACAAGGAGCCGCCCCAATGGAGAGAGTAGTAGTGAGGTAGAGGAGCAACAATCTGACGGTTGTCGTGTCCTAGGGAAGGGGGAGGAGGTGGAAGGGGGTACAGCTGGTGGTGCGGGTGATGCTCTTATTGTCTCCCTACCTGTTGCTGCTGCTAGCGGGGCCGCACCTGCTGCTGCTGCTCCTTTCCCTCCAGCTCCTCCTGTTCCTGCACCTGCTTCTGTTCCTCCTCCTGCTGCTGCTCCTTCTGGTGCTGCTTCTGCTGCTGCTTCTGAGGCGGAATTAGTGGGAAAGCTGGGCCATCCTGTTTTTGCTGCTGCTGCTGCTGCTGCAAGCGATGCTACTGATGGTAATGCACCTCAGCGTAGTTCTTATGACCCCCAACTAGAGAATGATGAGGTCCGGAACAAGTCTGACGAAGCTGGGTGGGGAAGCTGCGAGGCTTGGCGAAGCAAGACGCAGCACGAGCATTCAGAGGCTCGGAGCGAGCGTCAAGACTCGTGGCACGGGTACAGGTTAGGGGACTGGAAGCAGCAACTGGCGCGGGCTGCTGAGCTGGACGTACGAGTGGGGCGGTTCTATTGGTCGGATCTGGTGGCCCTGTACCGCACAGAAGTGGGAGGGGAAGGTAGTTCTGCTGTCGCAGGGGGAGGAGGAGGGGGAGGCGGGGGAGGAGGAGAGGGGTTCTCTGACGCACCTGTGATGGAAAAGAGCGGTAGTGTGGAGGTAAGGCATCCAAACGCACCCACGGTTGTCTATCTGTGGTGTGTCCTTCAGGTGTCCTTCAGGCGACCCTCATGCGTCCTGCAGGCCCTTTTTCCTGAACTGCTGATATTTCTACTTCATTCCCGTCTCGTCTCTCCATGGTGACTTCTGACCTAAGCTGCCTTGCTCCTTGATCCCTCTGTGTCCACTCCTTCGCTTCTCCGTTCTTTCTGTTCCTCCTCGTGCCCCAGGTGACCGTCAACTCTGGCGGAATTGTGTACTTTGCACTGTTCCAACAGAAGATGCACGATGCTGGACCCAAACGGGGTGATTTTGAGCACAAAGAAACAGAGGAGGAAGGCAGGAATAGGGCGATTGAGGAAAAGCTGGGGGTGCAAATTCCGCCTGAAGACACACTCCAAAGCAAAGATAACAGGGGAGTGGAAAGGAAGGAATGGTTAGGAGGTGAAGGACAAGGGGTAGAACACCAGCCACAACTGGCAGCAGCGTGCATCAAATTCGCCGGGTCGCGCATCGTGGTGCAGTCAGAGCGATTCGGAGCAGAGCTGGCCATGCACTTGGGTATAGCCACGCCCCAGGTGCGCGTGGTGCACCGGGGGAATCACGGCAGAAGCAGCACGCACAGCAGCCCTGTGCTGTGCAGCGCCACTAACACCAACAGCAGCAGCACCAGCAACACGGGTAGGAGAAGGGCGACAGTAGCAGGAACTTGCAGTATGGCATCTCTGGGTGGTTCTGGTGCTACCAACGACGACCGTTTCACAATGGATAAAGAAAACCAGCAGCGGGGGTTTCCCGGCCAGGTGGACGTTTGTGGTCGGGGATATGATCCTTCTTTGTCGGCGCATGAGCTTGCTGTGAAGCAGAGTCAGGAGTGGGAGGAGGTGGTTCTGGCTGTGGAACGACTGAGGGAGAGAGAGGTGGAGGCGAGAGGGGAAGGGGGTAGGAGCGGGAGAGGGGAGGAGGTGGACGGGAGGGATGGTGGAGCGGAGGAGGGAGGGAGTGTGGTGGAAAGGAAGGAGAGTGGAGGGAAGGAGGAGGCGAGTGTGGTGGAGGAGTTTCTGGAAGCCCTGCAGCTGAGCCGATGCTTCTTGTTCATGGGGTGAGTATCAGCAGCACGTTAATTTCTTTCCGCTGATAAATCGAGTGTAGGAAAACGGTTGCCTGCTATTGTGTTGATTGTTTTGTCACTCGGATTGTTTGAATTTATTTTTTTCTCCGCGTTGCTTCTTGTCGGTCTCCCTCCCCTCTTGTGTTTTGAAACGTCTCAAGGTTCGTTGCCCATAGCACCCCACCAGCTCAATTTTCTCATGCGCCTGTCTATCCTGTGCCCATTTGTGCAGGCATGTCAAGGGGCAATCCTTCGTTTCTTGTCCCCGGAACGAGCTTTTCCCTGACCAATCTGCCCGGGAAAAAACCGCGCACTCTCTGGGCCGTGTGCTGCTGCTGGATATCATGCTGAGGAACGACGACCGGTTACCCTGCCCGGAATTGGGGTGGAGGGGTAATCGCGGTAACATCTTATGTTCCAACCGACCGTTACTGAAAGCCTGGGAGCGAAAAGAGAGTGTGAAGGAGAGTGAGAGGGAGGGGGGATTTGGTGGTCGGTCTGACAACAGGAGGAGAGGGAGTGGAGGTAGGGAGGGAGGAGGAAGAGGGAGGGGGAGGGGGAGGGGGCGAGGAAGGGGAAGGGGAAGGGGGAGAGCCGATGGGGGATGCGGAGGATGCGATAATAACAAAAATCAGGAATATCATGGGAATCAGGGGAATCAGGTGGAGCAGCTGCCGGTGGGGCAGGAGGTGGGGCAGGTGCGTGTGAATGAAGGGGCACCAGAGCAGCTGGCAGTAGGGCAGGAGGTGGAGCAGGTGCGTGTGGGGCAGGAGGTGGTGGTGATAGATTCGTCCATCTGCCGGCGCGTGCCGCCCGGGCTGGCAGAGCAGGACAGGGAGGCCATTCCTCGCCTCGTGCAGCTGTTGCTGCATGACCCTCACTTCGCCGCCCACACACTCTTCCACGCCTCCTTTGGCGCGCTGGGCGAGTTAGATAAGCAGAGCGAGCAGGACAAGTTGCGTGAGCAGGGCGAGCAGCATAAGCAGGGCGAGCGGGGCGTGCAGGACAAGCTGCGCAGCCTGGGCGCCACTGTGCTCCCGCCAGCAGCAGCTAATGACGGTGGTTTCCTGCCAGGATCATCATCATCATCGTCATCATGCTCGTTTTCATCCTCGCTAGAGTCATCCTCGTTTGGCTCGTCTTGCTCCTCCTTCCCGTCCTCCTCGTCGGGTGCTGCTGGAACAGGTGTTTCTGCAACAGATGATCCTGGAACTGGTGCCACTGCTGGTGCTCCTGCTACAGGTGCTTGTGCCGAGCCAGTCGACAGTCACGCCCTGTCTCTGCCTGTACTTACCGAATCTGGAGCGGCTCTAGAAAGCTTTTCTCGTGGTACCATGGAGCTTGTAAGTGCCCCTACATTCCCAAGCAGCACCAGTACCTCCTGCTCTGCTATTACTACTACTACCACAACCAGCGTCACCACCACCATCAGCACTACCACCACCGTCACTGCAACCACTGCCACCGAATCTGGAGCCGAAATCATCACTAAAACTAACAGCAGCAGCATGCATTTTCAGCCCTCCGAAATAGCACAGCTAGCAGCAGCGGCACACCCCATCGTGTCTCCAGAAACACGTGCGTTCCAGCAGGGGTTCCGGGAGGCGATGGAGGAGATGGGGCGCGTGCAGCGCACGCTGGCAGCGCTTCACTCTCGCCTGGACGACATGCTGCGCGCCTTCCTCGCGTTTGTCACCTCCGTGCCCTCACTTGATGGGCCAGGGGAGGGCGGACGAGGCGGGGAGAGTGGGCGAGGCAGGGAGAGCGGGGAGAGTGGGCGATTTGGGGAGCGAAGTCGAGAGTTTGGGGTGGGTGGGGGAGGCCGGGAGAGTGGAGAGAGTGGGGGGCGAATGGGGTATGGCAGCAGGAGGAGAGACAGTGACAGTGGGAAGCAGGAGATGGTGGTGGGAGGAGAGGGAAGCGTGGGAGAGTGCAAATGGAGAGGAGGGGAGGGAGGAGGAGGGATGGGAGGAGGAGGGGTGGGAGGAGGAGGGGGGGCACTGGTTGATATAAACACAACGACCCCGTTTCCTTTCCGAAAGGGGTCGCACATTCTCTCACCTTCGTCTGTCCAGAGGCCAGGAGTCAACAACAAAGGGTGCAATGGCAATGGTCGTGGTGGCGGCAGTGGGATTGGTGATTGCAGCAACAGCAGGATAGGCGATGGAGCTGGTCCTGACTTCAATTGTGCCGGTGACAGCTGTGACAGGCGGTTAGGACCTGCTGTGAGACGATCCTCACCGTCCATCTCGTGCCGCACTGAACACATGCCTGCGAGTAGATTGGACTTTGGGAGTGTTGGTGGGGAGAGGGAGAGCGACAGCAAGAGGGATGGTAGCAGTGGTGCTAGTGGTGGTGATGGTGTTGGGGGTTCTGGCAGTGGTGCTTGTGGTTATGGTGATGGTGGTGGCGGTACTGTCAGTGGTGTCAGCTGTGGCACTAGTGAGGGTGGTGCTGCCAGAGAGCTAGAGATTTCAATTACAGTGCAAGAGATTCCAGATAATGCTGACATGACATCTGCAGGCCAGGACACTGAACAGTTCCCTCCACCTCCTCTCTTCCCTTCCGCTGCCTCGTCCTCTCATCCTCCCCCTTCTGTTCTGTCGCCTGTTCCTGAAGCAGAAGACCCCATCTCCCCTGACTCCGCTCCTCCTTCTGCCACCACTGCTGTAGCCAGAACCACGTCATCACCATCCCCTTCCACGTCATCAGCATCCCTTCCCACGTCATCACTCTCCCGCAACGATTCAGCCAGCAGGACCCTACATCTGCCCTCCCTCCGCCCCCCTGTCATCTCAGCAGCAGAAGATACCATGGAGGAGCCTTTCAATGCACCTGCCCCAGATCTACCTTCCCCAGTAACACCCTCCCCTCGCACAGCCGGCTCACATAGTACCGCCCTGTGGTCGCCCCACACCCCCAGGGACTTCGAATCTTCCCTCGACTCCTCCCCCCAGGCGGCCCCCCTTTCCCCTCGAGCACCCCCCTCTGCTGAAACCTCTCCCTGTAAGGGGTCACACTGTAACGGGTCACCCTCTAATGAATCACCTTCTAAGACGTCCCCCTCAACTCCTCCCTCTAACAGGTTTCCCCGTTGCGAGAGGTACTTGAGTGCTGTCAACTCCCACTCTTCCTCCTCCTTTCCTCCGTCTCCTAGCGAGGAGTCGTACTCACAGCATGTGATGAGGCGGATATCACCTCCCCCAGTCATGCCTCCCTCTGCTGCTGGGCCTGCGTACGGCTACGCCTCTCGCACTGACTGCTCTCCAACTGATGCTGATGCTGCTGATGCTGATGCTGGTGCTGGTGCTGATACTGATGCTGATTCGGCTGCTGAGGGCAATGGTGGTGGTGATGGCGGTGGTGGTGGTGGCAATAGTGGTGTTGGTGGCAGTGTCAGTGCCGGTGGTCGTCGTACTGTTCTTTCCCGTCGGCCCCGTGCCCCTCCCCCTTCCCCTGCTCTCTCTGCCCCCGCCTCCCCGGCCCCTCCCTGCTCTCCCGCTCCTCCCCGCTCCCCTATCCCTCCTCGCTCTCCAATCCCCCCTCGCTCCCCTGCTCCTCCCCGCTCCCCCATCCCCCCCCGCTCGCCTGCTCCCCCACGTTCCCCTGGCCCATACCGCCGATCATCTGCTGGTGCTGCCCTCTCGCCCCACCTCGTGCGCTCCCCTGCTCGCTTTGCTCCCCGATCTCCTTCTCTCACTAGCGCCCGCTCGCCCTTCCTTAGTAGAATCTGTGAGAAGACCGCAGCAACCGACGAGGCAGACCGACAAGCAGCAGCAGCGGCATCTGCAGCTGGAGAAGCAGCTGGGGAACCTGCTGGGAAGGCCACAGCTGAAGCATCGACACAAGGAGATGCAAGCTCTTCAGAAGCAGGTCCTCCTGCTGCTGCTGCCGCTGGTGCTGCTGTGGTTCCTGTTGTTACCACTGCTCCCACTAGCGCTGCTGTTTGCGCTGCCAGCTCGCCACCCACCCGTGCCACCTCCCCCATGTCTCTCTCCTCCGCCTTCTCCTCCCCTCCCTCCACCCGCCCCTCGCCCATTACCCGCCCTACCCACCATCGGCAGAAGCAACCGCACCTTCTTCTTACCACCACCACCACCACTGCCACTAACAATGCCACTGACACCGCCACCACTAGCGCCACCACTACCACTCTTGCTGATCCCGCACCTGTTCCTTCCACTGATATTGCCACTGATACTGCCACTGGTACTGCTCGTGACACTAGCACCAGCAGCATGCACACTCCCCCAGCCAACCGCACCCGTCTCCTCGCTCGCAGTCCCACCTCTCGCCCCACCCACAAATCCTCCTCCCTCAAAACCCCCTCCACTTTCCAAACCCCTTCCCACAAAACCCCATCCCACAAAACCCCGTCCTCCCACAAAACCCCCTCCAACCCGCGTCACGCACCCGCCTCCATCAGCAAATCCGCAGCCAAAGCCGCTGCGTGGAGGGCGTCTCTGGGTGGTTTACCCTCCCGGCTGAGCATGAAGATCCGCGGGGTGAGGAAGTCAGCACAGGGGGACGAGGAGCTGAGGGAGCAGGTGCAGCGGTGGGATGGGATGATGCGGGAGGAGGCGGGGCGGATATGCAAGGCGGCTGCAGTGCCGTTTGTGACAGGGTTCATGGAGGCGAGTGGAGGGGGCGGTGCGCACAGCCTGGTGGATGCTTACGAATTGAAGGTGGGTGTGTTTTCTTCCATGTGAGGTTGCCCAGGGCTTGTATGCTCGGCTGCGGTGCCGTTTGTGACGGGGTTCATGGAGGCGAGTGGCGGGGGCGGTGCACACAGCCTGGTGGATGCTTATGAGCTCAAGGTGAGAGTTGCTTGTTGCAGCTTCATGTTTGGCGCACGCTTGGCTTGTGAGCGCGTGTGCAGTGCAGTGCCGTTTGTGACGTGTTTATGGAGGTGAGTAGTGGGGGGGGGATGGTGCGCACAGCCTGGTGGATGCTTACGAATTGAAGGTGAGGTTTTCACAAGTGCGGCACAGGGCATGGCATGTATGCTCTTGTGGGGCACTGTTTGTGACGGGGTTTATGACGGTGTGTGGGGGGGCGGAGCCCACAACCTAATTGGCGCGTACGAGCCCAAGGTGAGTGCTGGTCGGTTAGCTCACATCACATGCTGGACCCTGATGCTCGTGTCATGAGGCGTGTCGAGCTCAGGCGCTTGATCTTCTCTTCTCTGCTCCTCCCCTTCCCCCCAGGTTGGATTTCTGAGGCGCCTCAAAATACGATTTTTGAGGCGCCTCAAAACAACGTGTCGAGCTCAGGCGCTTGTTTTTCTCTGCTCTGCTCCTCCTCTTTCCCCCAGGTTCGTCTGCACCACCTGTTGGAACGCTGGGGGCTTGTTCAAGACTCGATGGCCACTGAGCGCCCCTCGCTGGTCCTCCCCCACCTCTACCTGGGCTCCGCCATTGCTGCTCTCCAACTGCTCGCACCCCCTGAACTCATCTGCCTGCTTACACTCCCATTTCCCCTCTCCCCTCCCCCAGGTGCGCCTACACCACCTGCTGGAGCGGTGGGGGCTGGTGCAGGACTCGATGGCGACTGAGCGCCCCTCGCTGGTCCTCCCTCACCTTTACCTGGGGTCCGCCATTGCTGCCCGCTCCTTCCCTCTGCTGCACCACCTGGGCGTGCGGCACGTTGTGACACTCTGCCCCACGGACCTGTTAGACCCTGATGCGGAACAGTCCCCCCTCTTCAACTACCTCGTGCTGCCGGTATGTGGAGATTGCCCTGGGGGCTAGGGAAGGGGAAGGGAGAGGAAAGAAAAGGGGGATCGGTGGTTTTATTGCCCTTGTTGCTTCGTCTCCTTCCCCCTAGGAACCTCTCTTTTCTCTCTCCTCTCGCCCCCTTTTCTCCTTTGTGCTCCACCCCTTTCTCTCTTTCTCTCCGTCCTCTCCCCCTCTTGTGCGTTTCTGCCAGTCTCTAGAACTTGTGTGTCCAAACATCCCTTCTTGCCCCTCTCGGCATGTCTCAAAGTGTGCTCCCCTCCTCGCCCTCCTCGCCCTTTTCCACCGTAATCCCTCTGCTCTGGCATCAGATGCGCGACTCAGACCGGGAGGATTTGAGCAAGTACATTGACACAACGAGCAGCTTCCTGGAAGCTGCCATCAGCAAGGGCGAGGGGGTGCTGGTGCACTGCTATGAGGGCCGCAGCCGATCCGTGTCAATCGTGCTCGCTTACCTCATGACTAAGAGGTATGTATTTATGGCATGGTGGGTAAGACGCATGCAAAGGTAATGCAATAAGTTAACCAGTTAACCAGGCACTCAAGCGGGGGTGCTGCTGCACTGCTATGAGGGCCGCAGCCGATCCGTGTCCATTGTGCTGGCTACCTCATGACCAAGAGGTACGTGCGGTGGTGAAGAAGCATCTGCTGGCGTGTACGTGTGATGAGCTGGTGCACTTCTATGCTATGAGGGCCGCAGCCGATCCGTCTCGATCGTGCTCGCTTACCTCATGACCAAGAGGTATGTGCATGCGTATGGCACAGTGGGTTAGAAGCATTCAGAGGTACGGCGACCAGGATATGAGAGTGCCCCCTTGTGCTACGAGGGACGTACCCCATCCGTGTCCCCTTACCCCCCTCCACCTGCCCCGATCCCCTATTCCCCCTGTCCCCATTCCCCCAGGCGCATGCCCGTGGCGCCGCATGGGTGGTGCTGCACTCCGCGGCTCCGCCCACCCCCATGTGCCCCCCCAACACCGCCTTCCTCCGCCAGCTGATCCTCTTGACCAAAAGCTTTTGAGGCGCCTCAAAACTCCGCCCACCCCCATGTGCCCCCCCAACACCGCCTTCCTCCGCCAGCTGGTCCTATTGATTGACCAAAAGCTTTTCACTCATCCTCCCTGCCCCCATGCCCCCCTCCCCCCTGCCTTCTTTCTCGTTTCCCCCAGGCGCATGCCCCTGGCGGAGGCATGGGTGGTGCTGCACTCCGCCCACCCCCACCCTGCCCCCAACATCGCCTTCCTCTGCCAGCTCGTGGCCCTCGACAGACACCTCTTCCCCCCCCACCCTCCTGCGCCTCCCTTTCCCATTTTCCCTCTTCCTTTCCCCTTGCCATCTTTTCCTCTAAATCTTCTTCCTCTGTCCCCCCTCCCCCGCCCCTGGTTCCCCACTCCCCCCTGTTCTTTCCCCCCAGGCGCATGCCCCTGGCGGAGGCATGGGTGGTGCTGCACTCCGCCCACCCCCATGCCGCCCCCAACACCGCCTTCCTCCGCCAGCTCGTGGCCCTCGACAGACACCTCTTCCCCCCCCACCCTGCTCCGCCTCCTCCTCCTCTTCTCCCCTCTCCCACTGCTGCCCTAACTCCTCCCTGTGACAAGCCGAGAAATACCAGTACTGATGCTCCCACTGCTAACACTGCTACCACTGCTAACACTGCTACCACTGCTACCACTGCTAACACTGCTACCACTGCTACCACTGCTAACACTGCTACCACTGCTGCTGCTGCTGGAGCTACCCTTTCTGCTGCCTTTCCTGCCACACCTACAACCCCCTATACCAGTGTTGATGCTCCTGCTGCTGCTGCTGCTGCCCCTGATGTTTTCACCCCTCCTGCCACCACCACAACCGCCCTTCATCTTGCTCCTACCCCCCAATCATCCAGCCCTGCCTCTGCTCCTGCAGCAACTGCACCCTCCTCCTCCACTTCTGTCTCCCCCACGCCTCTCGCTCTGCCCTGATGTCCGAGGGGGCGAGTGAACAGGCCGACAGTGCGCGTGTGTGGCGTGTGCGGCAAGGCAGCGGGGCTCAGTAGTGACTCACTGAGAGCGCACATGAGGAGAATGCACCCAAGAACACCCCTGCCTCCTCTCAAAACTGCTTAAGGGGAATAAGAAGCAGTGTGTATGTGCGTGTGGTGGGTGCAACAAGGGAGCAGGCCTCAGCAGTGACTCTCTGAGAGCGCACATGAGAAGGATGCACCCGACCAGAAGCCTATGAAGCAATATATGAATGTGGTGGGTGCGGCAACGCATCAGGGCTCAGCAAGGTCACCACATGTTCTGCAAATTCCGTGTGTACATATGTTCAAGTGGGTTCTTTCTTTGCTCCAAACAGGGCAAATCTAAGTGGCTCACCACAAATATAGGGTTTGCTTATACACAATCTGAGAAGCTGGATGTCACGGGGATGCCCGTGCTTTTTATATTAAGCTATGACAAAACATAACACACAGTAAAGTGGCCAGGATTTAAGCAAGAGTTTGGTAGTTTACACAATCAGCCTGTACAGTCTTGTAAATGTAATCGCGCTAGTCCGCAGCGAAAGTTTGTGGGTCCGTTGTGTCTGCATAAATTTCTTAGCGCCAGAAACCTTGATATCTCCACCCCCAGAACGAATTTCTCCGTCTCCTTTGGTGCTTTGAACCATTTCCCCACTCTTTACTGATTCCAGAAGCAATATTTTACTGCGAAACACAAGTTCATGCTCAACCTCCGTCATTGTCGTCCGTCGTTGCCGCTGCTTCGCGTCAAGTGAAATATTCTGCAGCAGATAAGAGCACGCGTGATTGGAGACGCAGTTGATTGAAGCCTCGTGGTTGTGAGCCTGCGCTAACCCACTGAAAACTACCGGGATTGCCGACTGGGTTTTCAAGTGAACGAACTCGCAGCTGATTATAAGACAAAGCACAAATTATGCCTTTTCTCCTCCTAGTCTTCTAACTTGCGAAGTCGCATTGTCGTTGAGCAGGATTCAGCGTGCCGAATTCGTGAATTCAGTCCTCCTAGTCTTCTAGCAGGATTCAGCCTGCCGAATTCGTGAATCTTGTCTCTCCATGGCGGACAGAGCAACACCAGCTTCCATATCAGCACCAGTACCCACCCAAACGGCAGCAGCAGCAGCAGCAGCAGCAGCACCGTCAGCAAATGATTTACCACAAACAGCAGCGCCATCAGCAGCAGCAACCGATGAACCATCAGCAACAGCCAGACTTACCACCCCTGCATGTTCCAGTATAGGTCCCTTCCATGCCTATTCTCTCCGTTTCTTCTCGTCCACCTCAATTTCCGGTAATGGAGATGCTTATAACGGGACGTGCAGCACAGAGTGCTTTTCCGGGTTCATGCTGCTGACGTCGCCTGCCATTGGCCCGCTGGATGCTGACGTGGCACACATGGAAGTCCCGCTGTGCTCCAAGTACTTTGGAGCTTTCTCTGCTGCTACAGATGGAACTTATGCTCCTGCTACAGCTTCAGTGCCTGCTGCTACAGCTTCGGGACAAGCTGCTGGCTTGACTGCTGCTGCTCCTGCTGCTGCTCCTGCTGCTGCTGGTGCTGCCTTTGCCGGCTCCTCACCAGGGTTTTCCCACCGCTCTTCGTCGCAATCCCCTTCGGTTGCTTCGGGGTCGGTCCGACTCTCTCCACTTGGAGCCCTCGCTTTCTCGCCTCAAAAGGTCAGTCGCGCTCAGACCATTCAGGTGGTTCAGGTCATTCAGGTGGTTCAGGCGATTCAGGTGGTTCAGGTCATTCAGGTAGTTCAGGTGATTCAGGTGGTTCAGGCGATTCAGGTGGTTCAGGCGATTCATGTGGTTTTCCAGGTCGTTCAGGCGATTCAGGTGGTTCAGGCGATTCAGGTGGTTCGGTTGATTCAGGTGGTTCAGGTGGTTCAGGCGATTCAGGTGGTTCGGTTAATTCAGGTGGTTCAGGTGATTCAGGTGGTTCAGGCGATTCAGGTGATTCAGGTGGTTCAGGTGATTCAGGTGGTTCAGGTGATTCAGGCGGTTCAGGCGATTCAGGTGGTTCAGGTGATTCAGGTGGTTCAGGCGATTCAGGTGGTTCAGGTTCAGCTCATGCATGCAGGTGTCAGAGTGCGTCAGCTGATCACGCAGGCGTTGGAACACGTCAGCTCCGCACCCATATGCATGCACCCCTCATTCTCCCCATTCTCCCCATTCTCCCCATTCTCTGCTTTCTCCGCCTTCTCCCCAGACTCCCCCGTCTCCATCTTCTCCCCCCTCTCCCCCTTCTCCCCTGTCTCCCGCGTTTTCTCGAATGATCTTCAGCTGAGCAGTGCCATGTGCTACCACATGCGTCTGTTCGGCATGGCGCTGGATCGACAAGACCTCCTGGACCATGCTCCCATCCTCGCCCACGCTGCTGCTGCTGCTGCAGTTGAATCTGCTGCTGCTGCTGCTGCTGCTGCTACTGAAACTGCTGCTGCTACAGCTGGTTCAGCAGCAGCTGTCATTACGACCGACGTTGCTGATGCTGCTGCTGCTGCTGGTGGTACCCATCCCACGCCCATCAGCACCGCTGTGCGCCCCTTTGGTGCCTTCTGGACCGCATCCCACTACTGTCTAGTGCTACCCTGCTTGGTCGAAGGAGGAAAGGAAGGAAAAGAGGGAGAAAGCGAAAGAGGAGGAGGAGAAAGAGGGACAGCAGCAGACTGGCGAGGGGCAGCTGAGGGAGGGGAGGAAGGGAGCGGGGCGAATGCAGGCAGGGAAGGCGAAGGGGTGGATGCAGGGAATCGTGGGGGAGGGGATGATGGCATGGGCAGGGGAGGGGATGATACCATGAGCATGGGAGGGGATGATACCATGGGCATGGGAGGCGATGATACCATGAGCAGGGGAGGGGATGATGATATGATGCGCATGTTGATGGGGAGGATTGACTGGGAGACGGTGGAGAGGGTGGTGTCTCTGGGAGGCCGCAGTGCGGCCTCTCATGGCTGTGCACGGGATACTCATGGTGCTGCTGCTGCTGCTGATGGTGCTGATGCTGCTGCTGATGGTAATGGTGCTAATGCTGCTGCTGCTGCTGATACCACTTCTGTTGCTGCTGCTGATACCAATGGTGTTGCTGCCGCTGATACCAATGCTGTTGCTGCTGCTGATACCAATGCTGTTGCTGCTGCTGATACCAATGCTGTTGCTGCTGCTGATACCAATGCTGTTGCTGCTGCTGATACCAATGCTGTTGCTGCTGCTGATACCAATGCTGTTGCTGCTGCTGATACCAGTGCTGTTGCTGCTGCTGATACCAATGCTGATACCAATGCTGTTGCTGCTGCTGATACCAATGCCACTCCTGCTGATGGTGGCGGTGGTGGTGGTGCTGCTGCTGCTGCTACTGATGCTGCTGATTATGCTGTTACCAATGCTACTGCTGCTTCTGCTGTTCCGAACACCACTCAAAATGCCCCTGGCAGCACCCCCCTGCTCATGATTGCGCGCGGGCCTGCGGAGGAGCATGGTGACCTCCACGGCATGGCAGCATATGCGGATGATGCTGTTCCAAACAATGCCCCTGCTACTGCAACCACGCCTCTGCTCGTGCCTCCTCGTGCCCCTGTCACCACGCCTCTTCTCATGACTGCTCGCGGGCCTGTGAAGGAGCATGACCTGCATGGCATGGCAGCATACGCGATGCATTCGCATCTGCTGTACCAAGTGGTGGGAAGGGATCCGGAGGGAAGGACAGCACAGAGTGAGTTCGAGGGGCCGCATGGAGGCACGTTCCAGCAGTACTTCCAGAACCAGTGAGTACTTGCATGGCATGGCAGCATATGCGGTGCATTCCTATCCGCTGTACCAGCTGCTGGGAAGGAAGGGACCTTGAGGGGCGAAGCGAACGGCATGCAGTGAGGTCAAGGGGCCGCATGGAGGGACGTTCCAGTAGCACTTCCAGAACCAGTGAGTACCTGCATGCATGGCATGGCAGCATATGCGGTGCATTCCCATCTGCTGTACCAGCTGCTCCTGCTCTGCTGCACACACTGTCCACACTGCCCAACCCCTACTGCACGTTCGTTCACACCCTTAAACCTTACACCCCTACCCCTACCCCCAATAAACCCCACTCCCCTACCCCCCTCTGCCAGGTATGGCATATCGCTGCATTACCCCGACCAACGTCTGTTTGCTGCTTGCGCCCCAGCTGAAGCCAGAGCTGCGCAACGCACTGCTGCTGCTGCTGCTCTGGACACTGCCAAATCCTTTTACCACTACCCTCATGCAGCCCTAACCCTGATACGTGTAACCCCCCTCACCAGGTACAACATATTGCTGCAGCACCCCGACCAGCCTCTGTTTGCTGTGTGCCAGCTGAAGCCAGAGCTGCACAATGCACTGCTGCTGCAGGCGCGGCCAAAATGTAAGTGACTCTGTGTGGGTGCATGCGTGCGTGCGTGCGTGTGTGCGTGCGTGTGCACTGATCCTCTCTCCATGGTCCCTCCTCTCTCCATGGTCCCTCCTCTCTCCATGGTCCCTACATGTGTATCGATGTGTGAGCCAGCCCGTTTGTCTGTGCTTGTGTGTGCCGCCAGGTCCCCCTTCCACCACCCTCCCTCCCTCCTCTCCCTTCCATCACCACCTTGCATCACCCCCATGACATCACCCCTCCCTCAGTGAACACTTGCGATCTAGTTTTGAGTCGACTCGAGTTTTGAGTCGACTCAAAACTCGACTCACCCCTCCCTCAGTGAACACTTGCGATCTCGCCAACAGGGCGATCCAATCAGCTTTACATCTCGCCATCATGTCCGGATCTTGCGTGGAACTTTCGATACACTTGCGATCTAGCCAACAGGGCGATCCAATCAGCTTTACATCATGTCCTGAGAAGAAATCCCACCCCCCATCACCCCATTACATCACCCCTCTCGCAGTGGACCCTTGGGATCTCATCAACAGGGCCGTCCACTCAGCTTTAAAACATATCCTGAGTAGAAATTACCCCCCTCCCCCACCCCCCACATCGCCCCCATTACATCGCCCCTCTCGTCGACAGTGGACCCTTGGGATCTTCTCAACAGGGCTGTCCATGTCGGTCCATTCAGCTTTGCAACTCATCCTGAGAAGAAATTCCCCCTGCCCATCGCCCCCATTACATCACCCCTCTTGCAGTGGACCCTTGGGATGTTTTCAACAGGGCTGTCCAAGTGGGGCGAGTGGACCAGATGCCTGTACCTGCCAGTGCTTCAGTGGGGGTGGCTGTAGCAGACACGGCTGTAGCTGATACAGTTGCAGCTGACGTGGCTGAAGCAGAGACGGGTGTAGCAGAGAAGGGTGTAGCAGAGAAGGGTGTAGCAGAGAAGGGTGTAGAAGAGAGGGCTGTAGCAGAGAAGGCTGAAGCAGAGAAGGCTGTAGCAGTGAAGGCTTTACCAGAGCAGACTTTACCAGATCAGGCTGTAGCAGTCAATGTTGCAGCTGACGGGGCTGTGGCAGACAAGGCTGTAGCAGACACGGCTGTAGCAGACACGGCTGTAGCAGACACGGCTGTAGCAGACACGGCTGTAGCAGACACGGCTGTAGCAGACACGGCAACAGCAGAGAGGGAGCAGCAGAAGCAGGAAGAGCAGGAGCAGCAGCAGAAAGGCACAGGGCAGGAGGAGGCAGCTAAGGGGGAGCAGCAGCAGGGCAGGGAGAAGGGCAGGGGGCGACAAATATCATATCTGCCTCGGGAGACATCGTACCTCCCATTGGAGCTACTGGTACCGGTGTTGCCCGTGCAGCACGTGCTCTTTGCCTCGCTGCTCCCCTCGCTGCTCTCCCGCCTTGACTGCCTGCTCACTGCCCGGGACATTCGGCGGTTCGTTGTTGCCCAGTATGGGTGTGAGCATCAGAGGCAGCAGGCACCGCATTTTCCTGCTATTGATGTGAGTCACTCTGATGCACTGCACTGCACTCCTCTGCACGGCACTGCACCGCGCTGCTCCCCTCGCTGCTCTCCCACCTTGACTGCCTGCTCTCTGCCCGGGACATCCGGCGGTTCATTGTGAGGCAGTATGGGTGTGAGCGCCAAGGGACTTGTGAGGCGACTTGCAGGGCAAAGTACAAGGGTTGTCGCAAGAGGAAAGGCAAGGTGAATTGCGAGAGCTGCAGCACTGGTGGTGGGCAGAGATGTGGCAGGTGTGGCAGCACTAGTGGTAGGCAGAGATGTGGCAGGTGTGGCAGCAGCACTGCAATGTACCGCACTGAACCGCACTGTACCGCACTGCAATTCACTCCACCACACTGCACTGCACTGCACTGCACTGCACCGCATCACACAAAGTGCTGTTCGGCAACAAGGACCCTAACCATTGCGCCCCAACCCAACCTACCCACGCACCAGCATCCCACCCTCTCTCCCTCTCTCTCTCCCTCCCACCCTCGCTTCCTTCCAACCCCTCAGCTCCTGCGCGCCCTGAGATGCCCCGGCGTGGGCACCTACGAGAATGACGAGATTCTCGGTGACAGCTGTGTGCAGCTCGCCACGTCCTGCCACCTGTTCTCCACTCTGCTGCCACGTCAGCAGCAGAATAACGGGCGTGGGCGTGGGCATAAGCAGAAGCATGGGCATGGTCACAAGAATGGGAACAACGGCTCAGCATACGCTGAGAGTATTGCCTCGATGCCATCACATGCGCCACACAGCCAGTCGTCCCTGCCACCAGTCTCCAAGAGACGGCCCACTGGGCCGTCATACGACGTCTTGAAACGGCAGTGCGTGAAGCTGGTGTCAAACAAGCACCTGGCAGCGCTGGCAGTTAAAGCCGGAGTGCCCGCCCTCGTTCGCTGCAAGCCATTCAGTCCCACGGATTGGATCGGGCCCCTAGTCCCTCCCTCCCACACTGTGCTGCTTCTGGCTGACTCCCTCTCTCACTCTCTCCCCCAACCACACTCCCCCTCACACTCTCGAGCGACTACAGCTTCCCAGAACCTTCCCCCTAGCCCCAAAGCCCTTCTGGACTCCGCCTTCGCCTCGCTGGCAGCGGCGCAGCCAGCAGCCGCCGCCAAGTCAGCGCGCCGCCCAGCCAAAAAACCGCTCGCTGACGTGGCAGAGGCCTTGGTGGGCGCCAGCTGGCGGTGCGGCGGCGCTGACATGGCGCTGCCGGTGCTGAGGTGGCTGGGCCTGCCTACGGAGGGCGTGGGGGAGCTGCTGAGGGGAGAGATGGGTTGGATGGGGAGAGAGGCGGAGGGGGTGGCAAAGAGAGGGGTGGTGGGCGTTGCAGCAAACCCAGATATGGCACTGGACGTGCCATCAGAGGGCGTGGGAGAGCTGTTGAGGGGAGAGATGGGGTGGAGGGGGAGAGAGGCGGAGGGGGTGGCAGAGAGAGGGGTGGTGGGCGTTGCAGCAAACCCAGATATGGCACTGGACGTGCCATCAGAGGGCGTGGGAGAGCTGTTGAGGGGAGAGATGGGAGCACGAGAATTGGAGCAAAGGGTGAGTGGCAGCAAGCACGCATGGGAGCAAACTAAACAGCCGTTCGAGCTGTTACTTGAGCCGCCAGAGAAGCTGCCTAAGCTTCTTGAAGGGGAATGCGTGCAGCACCAGGAGGGGCTGACTTTTGAGTCGACTCAAAAGCAAACTAGACATCCGTTCGAGCTGCCACTTCAGCCGCCAGAAAAGCGGCATAAGCTGCTTGAAGGGGAATGCATGCAGCACCAGGATGGGCAGCAGGAGGAACAGCAGCAGGTGCAGGGTGTGCAGGTTATAGAATGCTTGCAGCAGCAGCAGCAGCAGCAGCAGCAGCAGCAGCAGCAGCAGCAGCAGCAGCAGCAGCAGCTGACTTTGCCCAGCTTCCTAGAACCTTCCACCGCCAGAACGAACCCCAGGTGCCACGTGGCAGCAGCTGGCTGGCTGCTGGAGCTTCAGAATGCGATGGGGTATCGATTCAGAAATGAGGGGATACTGAAAGTGGCGATTCGGGAGGAGGGGTTGAAGTGGCAGAGACGGTTTGTGTTCTTAGGGGAAGCTGTGCTGGACTTTCTAGTCATGCACCACAAGGTGCAAGCAACATCTGTGACGGCCCATTCTCCTGCCGCCACGTCACCACATGCCACGTCATTGCACGCTGCCATGCCATCGCACGTTGCCACGTCAGCGCACGCCACCCGGCCGTCCCCGCACCAGTTGACGAACCTGCGCATGGTTGTGAACAACGCGAAGCGGTTTTGCCAGCTGGCGGCGTGCCGTGGGCTGCTGCGATTGGTGCGCAATATACGGCGGGCGGCGAAGGCTGCTGCCGATGCAGCTGACTTGGCACATGTGGCTGCTGGGGAATCGGGAAGGGAGGAGGAGCGGAAGGAGAAGGAGAAGGATGGGGAGGAGGACGGGAAGGAGAAGGAGAAGGATGGGGAGGAGGACGGGAAGGAGAAGGAGAAGGATGGGGAGGAGGACGGGAAGGAGAAGGAGAAGGATGGGGAGGAGGACGGGAAGGAGGAAGTGGATCTCAGCAGAGAAGGCATGGTTGGATCACAGAGGATGTTACAGCAGGCTGTAATCGAGAGAGGGGAGGCCGTGGGGAGAGGGGAGGACGTGGGGAGAGGGGAGGACGTGGGGAGAGGGGAGGCCGTGGGGAGAGGGGAGGACGTGGGGAGAGGGGAGGACGTGGGGAGAGGGGAGGCCGTGGGGAGAGGGGAGGACGTGGGGAGAGGGGAGGACGTGGGGAGAGGGGAGGACGTGGGGAGAGGGGAGGACGTGGGGAGAGGGGAGGCCGTGGGGAGAGGGGAGGCCGTGGGGAGAGGGGAGGCCGTGGGGAGAGGGGAGGCCGTGGGGAGAGGGGAGGCCGTGGGGAGAGGGGAGGCCGTGGGGAGAGGGGAGGCCGTGGGGAGAGGGGAGGCCGTGGGGAGAGGGGAGGCCGTGGGGAGAGGGGAGGCCGTGGGGAGAGGGGAGGCCGTGGGAGAGGGGAGGCCGTGGGGAGAGGGGAGGCCGTGGGGAGAGGGGAGGCCGTGGGGAGAGGGGAGGCCGTGGGGAGAGGGGAGGCCGTGGGAGAGGGGAGGCCGTGGGAGAGGGGAGGCCGTGGGGAGAGGGGAGGCCGTGGGGAGAGGGGAGGCCGTGGGGAGAGGGGAGGCCGTGGGGAGAGGGGAGGCCGTGGGGAGAGGGGAGGCCGTGGGGAGAGGGGAGGCCGTGGGGAGAGGGGAGGCCGTGGGGAGAGGGGAGGCCGTGGGGAGAGGGGAGGCCGTGGGGAGAGGGGAGGCCGTGGGGAGAGGGGAGGCCGTGGGGAGAGGGGAGGCCGTGGGGAGAGGGGAGGCCGTGGGGAGAGGGGAGGCCGTGGGGAGAGGGGAGGGCCGTGGGGAGAGGGGAGGCCGTGGGGAGAGGGGAGGCCGTGGGGAGAGGGGAGGGCCGTGGGGAGAGGGGAGGCCGTGGGGAGAGGGGAGGCCGTGGGGAGAGGGGAGGCCGTGGGGAGAGGGGAGGCCGTGGGGAGAGGGGAGGCCGTGGGGAGAGGGGAGGCCGTGGGGAGAGGGGAGGCCGTGGGAGAGGGGAGGCCGTGGGGAGAGGGGAGGCCGTGGGGAGAGGGAGGCCGTGGGGAGAGGGGAGGCCGTGGGGAGAGGGGAGGCCGTGGGGAGAGGGGAGGCCGTGGGGAGAGGGGAGGCCGTGGGGAGAGGGGAGGCCGTGGGGAGAGGGGAGGCCGTGGGGAGAGGGGAGGCTGCTGGTGGTGGCTGGGAGGCTGCTGGTGGTGGCTGGGAGGCTGCTGCTGGTGGTTGGGAGGCGGCTGGTGGTGGTTGGGAGGCGGCTGGTGGTGGTTGGGAGGCGGCTGGTGGTGGTTGGGAGGCGGCTGGTGGTGGCAGCTGTGAACCTGCTGCTGGTGGCAACACTGATGCTTCCAGGTATGTAATAAAAGAAGTGTTTTCAGACGTCTCAAAACACCGATGCTTCCAGGTATGTAATAAAAGAAGTGTTTTGAGACGTCTCAAAACACTGGTGCTTCCAGGTATGTAATAAAAGAAGTGTTTTGAGACGTCTCAAAACACTGGTGTTCCCACGTATGTAATAAAAGAAGTGTTTTGAGACGTCTCAAAACACTGGTGTTCCCACGTATGTAATAAAAGAAGTGTTTTGAGATGTCTCGAAACACCGGTGCTTCCAGGTATGTAATAAAAGAAGTGTTTTGAGAGGTCTCAAAACACTTGTGTTCCCACGTATGTAATAAAAGAAGTGTTTTGAGACGTCTCGAAACACTGGTGCTCCCAGTTATGTAACTTCTCATTACATTCATTGGCTAATCGACCAAGCAGTGAGATTAATGCTGTTCCGATTACTAATACTATTATCTCTTTTATTTTCAGGTTTCTAGGTGACGGCCATTGCATGGATTGTGTGGTCAAAGCAGGTGACGGGTCTACGGTGGTGTGGGTTGAAGGTAAAGCAATGCCCTCGAAAAGGGCGGCAAAACAATGGACATCAGCAGCAGTGTTACGAGCCCTAGCCGCCAAAGAGTGGCACGCCAATGCCAAGTAGCTTTTGTAAATATCAGTTTGTGGTGGTATATTATGGTAATGAGGCTGGGGATGGGATTTATGTAGATCTGTAAGGCGGCATACGAAACGGCATGGACAATCTTACTGTATGATGGTGCATGCTGAAATGTATCTTCATACACACACGTCTCAGAATCTACATGCAACGGAATGATTGGGATTAGGGTTTGCAAGCATACAAATAGGAGTCCTACAAATGTTGTACCCTCTAGGGAGTGCCTCACTGCAGCCTATCATAACATTAACATTTGACACACCCCCATAGGCTAAGTGAGGGACACCAGGGCAAGCAAGGTGAAACAAACGGTCACAAGACCAGTCAAGGCAAGACAAGCTCAGGGTGGATCTCAAGGACACCACACAAATTCCGAGCACAAGCAAGCGACCACAAGGCCAGTTCAAGAGTTCACTAGGATATAAATAGGAAAACACAACAAGCAGAGCAAGCAACAAGACTACAGCAACCGGGGGCCTACCTCAACAAGCCCCAACTGCACACAGAACCTGTGGTGATCACCAAGCGCCAAGGCCTTGGTGAAGACGTCTGCAGTGTTGGCCTCTGAGGCCACAAAGTCCAGGCGTGCCTGGCCGCGTCGCTGCAGCTCTCGCAGGAGGAAGTACCTCACGTCAATATGCTTCACTCTGCTCTCCAGTCGAGGCTCTCGACACAGGAGGATCATGGCCTTGTTGTCAGCGTACAAGGTCGGTGCAGAGCGAGGCCGCTCACCAAGGTCGGCGAGCAAGAAGGTCAACCAGCGAAGCTCCTGTGCCGCCATGGCACCAGCGTAGATCTCTGCCTCTGCACTGGAAGTAGCCACAGACGACGACCGTGTAGACCTCCACGACACAGCACCAACTCCCAGACTGAAGCAGTAACCCTGAGTCGAACGCTGAGTCTCCACGTCGTCAGCGTAGGAAGAGTCGCAGTGACCAGTCAACGCCACTGGCTGAGTCCCTCCAAGCACAAGCCCCATGCCTGATGTAGTCGCCAGGTACTTCGCCACCCTCACAGCAGTTGTCCAGTGGACAGGACGGTGTCTCCCAGTCGCAACAAAGCGAGAGAGGACGCTGAGGGGAAAGGCGAGGTCCGGCCGAGTACAAGTCATCAGGTACATGAGGCAGCCCACCAGCTCTGCGTAGGGACCACTGGACTCAAAAGGCTCGTCGGGAAAGGGGCCAGTGAGTCTGTGGTCAACAGCAAGAGGAGTGGGCTGTGTGGTGGAGAACTGGAAGTCGAACCGCCGAAGGACCTGCTGCACCATGTGTGACTGCGTCAGTGTGATGGTGCGAGCGGCTCTGTCCCGGGTAATCTGCAAGCCAAGGTAACGCTGCAGCTCACCCAGGTTAGTGCACTTGTGTCTCTTCTGCAGTTCGAACTTCACCTGAGCCAGGGCTGCCCTGTCTGCTGTAGCAAACACCAAGTCGTCGACGTAGACAATGATAAAGAAATGAGTAGAACCCGCTCGAACAAACAGCGACGGGTCGGCGGAGGACGGGCTGAACCCAAGGTCACGAAGCGTGGAGCGAAGAGTGTCGTGCCACTCACGGGGCGACTGGCGGAGACCGTAGACTGGTCGCCTCAGGCTCCACTGGGTCCCAGGTGGGAAGGTGTCAGTGAAGCCAGGAGGACGGCGCAGCCAGATCTCCTCGTGCAGTCGGCCCTGGAGGAACGCAGTGGAGAAGTCGAGGGAGTGCAGCTCGTAGTCTCGCTGCGCTGCTATGTGGAGTAACACCCGAAGAGTAGTCATCTTCGGGGTCGGGGCGAAGGTCTGGAAGAAGTCAACTCCCTCACGCTGACTGAAGCCCCTAGCCACGTAGCGCGCCTTGAACACCGGCGGTGCTCCAGGCGGCCGCTTCACCTTGAAGAGCCACATGCCATCGACTACGTTCGCCCTGGGAGGGGGAACTGCGTCGACGTAGGTGCCTGTGGATCTCCAAGACGCCAACTCTGAGTCCATAGCCGCTTTCCACTGAGAGGCCCACGCCCCTGACACTGCTTCGCGGTAAGTGCGAGGAGTCGGTATGTCAAGGGCGTCGGGGTCTCCCTCAGGGGAGAGCAGCATGGCACACACAGAGGGAGAAGCGGCTGCCCAGTACTCCAGCTCAGACTCTCTGTCCTCTAGGACGTCACAGCCAAGGGCAAACTCACCCCCGACGGACAGAGGACGGTAGGGAGGAGCTGGCACCACACGGGTGGCGTAGTCAAGGCGGCTGGCGGCAGCAAACTCAGCGACAGCGGCAGTGAGAGCAGAGACCGACGACGGAGGGAAACGAGAGTCGGTGACAAGAGTGGCGAGGACACGTGCGGCAACAGGACGAACAGTGCGGTAGTAGTCAGTGATAGGAGTGGGGAGGGCTGGGAGAGAGGACGGAGGAGGAGACGGGAGAACGGACACAGGAGAAGGAGAACGACGACGAGACGTACAAAGGAGGGCAGTGTGGAGGTCAGTAACAGGGGACGAGTGACGAGCACGCGGAGGACAACGAGTGACTAAGTCGCGACGGACCGAAGGAGGAGGAGACTGGGGAGGAGGAGAAGACCAGACCGCCGGACGGTCGTCAGGAGGAGGCAACGGAGGAACAAACACAGGAGGAGACTGGGAGCGGACAGGAGGAGAGGAGGAAAAGCCAAGGGCCCGCAGGCCACTCACAGGTGGGAACAACCGCCGCTCCAGAGGAAGCTGCAGTGGCGGCTGCGGCTGCTGCTGCTACGGCTGCTGCTGCGGCTGCTGCTGTTGCTGCTGCTGCTGCCGCTGCTGCTCCAGAAGGTCCAGCACCCGCAGCTCCTGCCGCTCCCTCTCCAACCGCTCCTGCTCCTCACGCTCACGCCGGCGGGCAGCCTGGAGTCGTGTGTCGTGGCGGTGGGGAGGCGGAGTGGACTCCGCAGAACCAGGGTCAGACTCCTCAGACTCAGCACCCCCAGAACCAGCACCTCCAGTGCCAGGACCTCCAACTCCAGCACCCCCAGTACCAGCACCTCCAGTGCCAGGACCTCCAACTCCAGCACCCCCAGAACTAGCACCACCAGTGCCAGCACCTCCAGCTCCAGCACCCCCAGAGCTAGCGCCACCTGCGCCAGCACCTCCAGCTCCAGCACCCCCAGAGCTGGCGCCACCTGCGCCAGCACCTCCAGCTCCAGCACCCCGCGACCGAGTACCCCCAGACCTAGCACCGCCAGTGGCTGCACCTCCAGCCCCAACACCAACCGAGTCCACAGTAACCTGTCGCGGAAGTGCCAAAGGCTGCTGAGGGGACTGTGAGGAGGACTGCGGGGAGGGAGACGCTACCTGATGCGCGACCGAGGGTAGAGGGGTAACGTGGGACACACCAGACGGGGCAGGACCAGGGGGGGGCGGGGGTACCGGAGGAGCGGGAGCAGGAGGAGGAGAGGGTGCGAGGAAAAGAGGGGGAGGGGGTACCGGGAGACCTCGACAGGGGTACCGGGTGTAGTAGGACACGGACTCGTCAAACCGGACGTCACGGGAGTCTAGGAAGTGGTGGAGGGGAGGGTGGTAAAAGGACCAGTCGGCAGAGTCCACTGGGAAACCAAGGAAGACACAGGGGACGGCGCGTGCCGAGAGCTTGTCCGCGGAGGTGTCGCGAACAAGTGCAAGGCAGCCCCAGACTCGAAAGGCCGACCCGACACCAGGGGAACCAGTCCAAAGACTGGTCGGTGAAACCTCGGGCCGCGAGACACGCGGCTGGAGGTTCAGCTGGTGTGCGGCGTAGCGAACCGCGTGGGGCCACAGAAAATGGGGCTCACGGGCATGGATCATGGACGTGCGGGCGATGTCCATGACCAAGCCTATGCGACGCTCAGCAACCCCATTCTGCTGTGGGGACTCTGGCAGCGTCCAGGACTGGGTGATGCCCTGTTCGCCGCAGAATTTGCCGAGAATGCCGGAGCGAAACTCGCCCCCACGGTCGGAGTGGAGACAACTGACTCGACGACCACGAGTGCCCTCAGTGGCTAGAAGCCACCTGATCAGCGTAGCAGTCACCTCGGACTTCTTCGCAAGAGGGAACACTGTGGTGTACCTGGAGAAGTCGTCAACGACCACCAGAAAGTAACGCTCCCTCCCAGACCCCTGCGTCGGGGCAAGGCCCCAGACGTCCAAGTGGAGAGTCTCGAAGGGAGCAGTGGCCGGACGAAGGGAGGAGGAGTGGGGAGTGGCGCGTAAGCGACCGGCGACGCACGGAGAGCAAGGAGGGGCAAGCGAGAGAGGGAGCGACGGGAAGGTGCGTGGGAGACCTGAGACAAGTCCCTGACTGAGCATGCCACGTAGGCGAGGGAGCGACGGGTGGCCAAGGCGGTGGTGCCACAGGACGGTGCGGTGGGTGAGAGAGCGACAGGAGCAAGACGCCGCGACAGGACTGGGCACAGCGACCGGACCGGACACTACTACCTGGTTAGACACAGCAACTGGACTGAGGACCTGGGCTGGAGGGGACGCAACGACCTGAGGGGAGGACGCGAC